AGGACAAAACGTATAAGTTTAAAAAGTCAATGCTAATTAAAATTTATATTCTCAGATAATAGCGACAATAAAAGAAAATCTTAAAGCATTTTATGTATTATTGGAGCAATCAAAAGAAGACCCAAACCCAGGATTTACTTTTCGGCCCTTTGACCTAATATCTGAATTAGATTTAATATTGAAGAATAATTATTTATACGAATTTCAGTTCATAGTAAATATCTCGGTTTAAATATGTAAACTGTTCTAGGAAAATGTCATTTAGAAATAATATACTGATTATTCAAAAGATGATTGTTTTTATCAAATCCCAAATTATTAATGTATCTAAAAAAAAATTGATATTATTAATTATGCATTAGGGACTTATGAAAAAATTTTTATGACAGTTTAATCAATACGAGGATTCCAAAACCAATATTTTCCTAGATCAGTTCTTATATTTTCTATGTTACGTATTATGATACTTACATATACTTATAATATATAGTATGATGTTGCAGATCTTATTGATGAACTAAGAGATGGACACGTCAGGTGAGTTATATTTTTAATTATTAAAAATAATTATTACTGTAAAATTATAATATTAAAATTTTATATTATATACTATCACAGGCTTTCTTCTACTGATTATCATCAATTTAATTTTTATCAGGGATTATCTTTGTACTCCGTAATTAAAGATGGAACACAGGTAGATTTTGCAAATAGTTTTCTACAGAAACCAATACCATAGCTTAATAATTAACCATTTAATTAATTTATTTTAAGCAACTTAAAATTTTTGATGACATAATAGATCCTGGTACCATTGATTGTCAAGTCATATATATAGATGACAAACCGGCGATTGATGTGATTACAGAATTTGCACGTAATCACATATCTAGTTCAAGAGATTTAAGTGTTCGATTTAACTTGGCTCTCGCATCTTTTGGTTTTGGAACTGGAGATTTTACAATAGGTGGACGATTATTCACATCTCGAAATAAATTGCCAAAAAGTCCAAATATTTCTTACACTCTTAATTGTAATGGTAAAATCTCTAAAATAAATCGAGAATGGAAAACTTTTATTAAAAGTTCTTCATATATATCCCCATACATCGATGGTACTACAGTTGGTAAAGCAAAATTGATTTATGATGCATTCATTGCCAGATTTTATATATTACAAGACTTTGGTGTGGTCTTGATTTCGACTGAAGATGTGAGTGATTCTGACCTTAAATATCGTTATATATCCGATATGGTTTTTGGATTTATATTATTAGCTAAAAAAGGTATAGAAAAGGTAACCTAATTATAAATAAATAAATTTCTAAGTTATTAATTTATTACGTGCTAAAATATTTATTATTATGTACTATATAGATTGTTTTAGATCTAAGTAACAATTACGGTGGTTCTGTTGATATTGCACACAATATAAATAAAATTCTATTCCCCAATATTCAAAGCTTTCCAGTTGATATGAAAGTCAATGATATTTCTGCACAATTCATAGAAGGTTTTTCAATGATTAGTTCATTATATAACGATCTAAAAAATGGATATATACAACATTATAAGACATATATTTCTACAAGAACAAATGCTTCATTCAATAGCGTTAAGGACTTTATTGGAAATAATTTATATACTCGTGGCGATATTCAACTTAAATACACTTCAAAAGCATTTTTAAACCATACGGTACTGTATGGTGGAAGTTTAGAACTTCCTACGCCTCCTAAATTTCCTTGGAACGAGAAAGATATTATAATCTTGACAAACGGATTGTGTTTTTCATCATGTGCAACTATAACACAACGATTAGCTGAAATTAATGTTCCTACCGTAGTTGTCGGTGGATTTCCAAATAAACGGTTTTCTTTTGCATCAACATCTGGGGGATATATGGTAACTACGGGCTATTTACAAACTTATGTTAAAAGACTTAAAAATCTCAATAGTTCTTTAGTTTCCAGCTTGACTCTTTCTGAAACTTTAAGTTTATCGTTTACTATAGTTGAAGCTTATAGTGTAAACCATCCAAACGAAGTCATGGATTTTTCTTTTAGACCTGCGGATTATCAATTATATTATGATGAAAGAAGTGCTAGAGATCCAAGCCAA